GGGAGGGGTTTGTGCGGGGAGAAGGGTGCAACAATGAATGAATGGAATGCCAAAATCTCTGTAGATGTTCATTGAAATGAAAAATAAACAACCTAAATTTAACAAAAAAAAAAAAAAAAAAAAGAGCTCTTGGGGGCACAATGGTAATCACTGGGCTATTAACTAACTGAAAAGTTGTTGGTCTGAACCAGATAAAGATACAGCAGTCTGACCGTGTGAAGATGACAGCGTCAATGAATGCCAGGGGACAGCTGTACCCTTTCCTACGAGTCAGAACTGACTCCAACACAGTAGGCTATGATCTTATGCTTGGTATTTGTTCAGTGAAATAACCAACCAAACAAAAATTAAAGAAACACAAAAAAGTTGCCTAGCACATAGCTATTTCATATTGTACTCTAGATAGACTTTCAGCAGTGAAGCTTAGCTGCATGCTTAGGAGAAACAGTGTGTATGTCCTAAGATGAAAATGAAGTATGCACAGGTCTGACACACATGGTGTCAGCATATATTTAGCATCACCACATGTTCAAATTACATGTGGAAGGACAATTTGTCAGGTATGCTGGTAATTAATCTAATTGTGTACTATTTCAATTTGTCCTAAAGACAATCTATGTAGAAAGAAACCTTTGTATTCATTCACCTGTACTGTAGAGCCTAAGCATGTAGTTTGGCAAATAACCTAAAATCAACCAACAAGGAGGTGATTCCAGCTCAAAGCAACACAACAGGACAGAGGAGAAGAGTCTGGCACAGAAAATGTGCATAAAGAATACCTCAGGGACTGTCACATTCAAACTGCAAAACAGAACAAGCAAACACAGTGAACAAAGTCCACTAATTTCACGTTTGGAATTGTTCCAACACAACCCTGTTCCTTACTGAAAAGGGTCCACAGTACCTCTGGTATTTGCCCCATTTTCCTGAGTTCTCAATTCAGGCCGGGAGGCAAGTTGTTCCTTGACGCCATCTAACCGCTGTTGTAGCTCTTCTGAGGTTATTTCACCTAAAACAGTAAAAAAACTAAGTACACTCTAAGTACAAAAATTTTAATTACTAAGTTTTATGAGAACCCCCAAAGAGAAGTAATGTTTAGCAATCTGCAGAATATCAGGCCTTACTGTCCCAACAGTTTGTAAACAAAGACAATTAAAAACACTCAACTCTTAGAAACACATATCAAGTTAGTTGTATTAAAACAATTTAAAAAACAATTTTTGACTATGCGCTAATAAATTATACTTTATGTTCACATTGACCATCTTAACATTTTTTTTTTGTTTACCATCTTTGTTAGCCCTCCAAGATTGACTCTGTGTGTAAACATAGATCTTAGCTTTTTTTTTTTAATTTGTGGTCTCATACCTTAATTATTCTTTGGTGACTAATTTGTCACTCAGTATAAATCTTTACTAAGAATAATTGATAAAGTGCTCTCAGTTGATATGCTTAGGTACAGAATAGAGAGAGAGAAAAAACTAAAAATCTTTACTTGAATTGTACCCCAAGACTTTATTATATGGAGCACTGATGATGTAGTGTGTTAAGCATGGAGGAGCTGCTAACGGAAAAGGTCTAAAGTTCAAATTCACCAGCTGCTCAACAGGAGAAATACATGGAAGTCTGCTCTGTGGCGACTGCAGCCTTGGAAAGCCTAAAGAGCAAATCAACTCTATCCTATAGGAGCACTGGGAGCTAGAGAGAAGAGAGCAGCCAGGGGTTTGCTTATGTTACTTTATATGGTTCACCAATATACAATTTAATCTCACATAGCAGACTTGCAGCAAATTCATGGATTTTAGATTAATCTTAGTATATGTGTAGCAAATTAATGGATCATACTGGACTTTGAGGGAGATAGTAATTCTGCTAAATAAATTAACACCCTCAAGATGAGCTAAAATGGGAGTTTTTAATTGGAATGCTTGGTACAAATATCACCTAAGTGAAAACAACCATAAATCTAACATTTAATCTGTCATGTACATCAATCCATTTACTAGGTTACCATTTATTTTTAAGTGTTCCATATCCAATTTTCTCATGTCTACTTATGAAATAGAAATGTGAGTGACTTCTTTAATTCAAAACTCATAGAAACAGTACTTCATATTTTAGGGGAAGGGAAGAAACAAAACCTCTCCATTTATAAATTCTTCCTTCTAATGATGAAATCATAGATCTGTGAAATCAGATATGTGCTCTACTCATTTTTTTATTTTAATAGACATTTACAGAGGTTTTGGATTTCCATTCATTCACTGCTGCACTTTTCTCCCTGCCCACCCCTCCCCGCTCTACTCATTTCTTACCAGGGGTGCCTAAAAGATTATGGTCTCTCATTAGCCGGTAATCTTCATCATTGAGTTCATTAATAAACTGGTAATAGGCTTCTTCTCTGTGGAGTCGCTCCTGCTGCCACCTTCTCTCGCTGTCACGATGATTATGATCTTGCATTGTGGCTTGTTCACTGCCATCCTCTGCTCTCGAACTAGACTGATTCATTCTGAAATAGCCTTTCTGTTCAAACAATACATACAAGAGTCAACGTATCAGTTATGGACTACACATGGTCTTTCTACCTTAATTTTTCTTTTTCTCCTTTTGTACCTACTCAAATACTTCATTTGCCAAAGTTCATAACTATACATGAAAATACATTTTCTGGGAGACAGAACACAACTGGACTTATTAAATGCATTGTTTAAGTCAGACTGGATTTGATTCAACCCTGCATTTCCCACATTTGAATCTTAAAGCAATTATCACATTTTTGGTACCCACAGAAACAGTGCTTTAAGGAAAATAGTGCTCATAAAGACTGTAGAATGCACCAAGGGGTTGGCAGGTTTGAAAAAAACAAATAAGGTGCTTATTATTTGCATAAAAATATAGCACCTCACTATTTTGTAACCAAACTTCTAAGACTTTGCTTATTTCAATGATGTTGCAAATATCTATTTCACACTAATGTACCAGTTTTAAGCTTTAATCATTTCAGTTCTTAATTAGTAAAAGGCTATCCAGTCACTCAAAACTGACCCTCTAGTGGGTTTTCACAGGCTATAAACCCCACTAGAGGACAATGTCCATGTCTCCTTAGGAAAAGGTGGTAAATCTGAATAGTGTGCCTTTGAGTTGGCAGCCTGACTCCTTACCCAGGAGGTAACCAAAACTTCCTAAACTGTTTCTGGGGATCTTGCATTAAGATCCTCAACTACTACATAAATATAACAACTTACATTTCTTTTTAGCAAGCGTATTCTTTTCAAAGTAAAACTCATAAATATACCATTTCCTTCACTGTACTCAAGATAAAAATAATTTACTTTCTGCTCTCTTAAGGCCTAAAAGGAAACCTTTCCCACCCTGAAAGGAGAGTCCACAGAGACTCTGAGGGCTATGATAAGACACAGCAACAGCACATTGACTCTCCCCATACCACACCTTGTTCCCAAACACAGAATAACTGGTCCTAGGGGGTCTGACTACTAGAGGAACTTCCTAACTTTGCCGATTTGGGAATTACACTTAAGTCCACTTTTAAACTATAAAACATCAAGGCAAAAAAAAATTTTTCTCATAGTTTAAAATTTTTCCGACATAGTATTACTCTGGCAATAGCTTTCGAAGGTACATCAAAGACATTTGAATCTAAACAAAAGCGATGGCTAAATCTCTAAATTTCATTAGAATTTTCTAGGATAGAGCCAACACCAGAAGAGTCCTGCTTGAACAGTGTTGAAAGTTCTTGACTGCTAACTTAAAGGCCAACTTTGAACCCACCAACTTTTCCTGGAGACAAAGACACAGAAGTCTGTTCCTGTAAAGATTACAGTGTTGGAAACCCTAAAGAGGGCAGTTCAACTTGGCGCCAGAGGGTTGCTGTGAGTCAGCAGAAGTGACTCCATGGGAATGGGCCAAGGGCAACATCTACCTTAAACAACTATATTAAAGTGTTCATTCTTTGATAATCTATTAAATAATCTATTCCTTGACAAATTCTAGTATATTATCAAAAGGCAAATATTAATAATGAGTTAGTAAAGGTAGGCTGATCAAATGATAAGGTTCTTGGATGAATCACCTTTTCTAATTCTGATTCTCAAAATTCTCAAAATATGCCACTGTTAGGTGTCATTGAGTTGACTACAACTCACAATGACCCTAGAGGAGCAACAGATCTGAATCTTGCCCTATCCTGTGCCATTCTCAGCATCTCTGATGTACTTCAGCCCATTGTTAAAGTTACTGTACAGTCATCAATTCATCCTGAAAGATTTCCTCACAAAATATACTAGTTGCTTAGTCAGAAAACTGCCCTACATATAAAATTTGCTTAGTGTTCTAAAGCACTGTATAAGGAATTATCCAATTTCATGTGTACTCTTAACACGAAATTATAAACAAGTAATTTTTTTTTTATTTTATTATTTTTGTGTGTGTGTACCATCAAATCAGATCTGACTGGTACAAGAGGAGATTGCCCCTCCTTCCCCGGCAGAGCATCTGGTGGATTCGAACTGTGCGCCTCTGGGATTGTAGTTGCAGCTTCTTGCCACTAGGCCACCAGAGCTCCCCTAAACTCAAGTAATTTTGACAGTGATCATTATGTCCTTTTTAATGATAGATCTGGTGAGACTATTCCTTGAAATGTTCTATTACTGATCACTCGGGATGTCTTCATGGAGTTGTGCTGCTAACCCAAAGGCAGCCTCCATGGGAGAACCACGGACAGATTCCTCCTAAACAATTCAGTCTCTTGAAAACCTGCTAGAAGGTCACCTGTAAGTCAGTTCTGACTTGATGGCAATGAGTCTGAAAGTTTTGAGAAATTGAACAATTACACTATATCACTATCAGAAAAAAAAATTATCATACGATTTTGGTTTTCTACCCCCCACAAACAAAAAGTTGGAACATCATAAATGAAGCTTCTCAGCCATTTTTTCAGAGTGTCTGTAAACGAGCCATTTTCTTGCACGATTTACCACATGTCAATCACCGTGAATACCTTTATCTTCCTTTCGACCTGCTTTTAACATTTGCAGTGGTATCCATCCTCCAACTGTTTGTACCTTTTTTGAGAGCTGCCGATCTGAAGCAAGATATGATAAAGGCATTAGTCAAATTAATCTCTTCGAAGGTTAAGCAGTCTCCAGCCGGCTACAGAATCAAAGCCAATTCTCCCGTGGATCTGCCTAAACGCTCACCTAGAAAATTCGATGCCTATACAATTAGGTCATGAAAAGCTCTCGCAAGGCCCTTTGCTCCCACATCAGAAATCTAGGCCTTTCGCCCCGCACTGTCAGGGCCTGGGATTGCGCTTCGCTCCCCTAGGCCTTCCTGCTTTACCCCCTCCCGGGCTGTCGCCGGGGTTAAGGGTGAACCCTCTTGACTCCGCAACCTTCACTTTCTGGCCGCTCCGCCCGCTGTCCGGCTACAGGTTCCTCTCCTGTCCGTTGTGACGGAAGCTCGCGCCCCAGGCGATCCCCAGTACAATAAACAAACTGGGCGCAAAGGCCCGACCAACCCTCTTCCCAACCGAGACCTAAGTAACGCTTCCCTTAGCGACCTACTTTCCCCGGGGAAGCCAGCGACAGACAGAGCGCCTCAGCCAATGACTGGCTAAAAGAAGGCATTAGGTGAGAAATCAACTAATCATGGGAGAGGTGGGCGGGACCAAAGATGGCATGTTCTACAGCGTCTCCAGGAAGTAGTGATGGGACCCTTTGGCTCTTCTCAGCGCTCACCTCGCCAGCAGTTAGCGTTCTCTCCTAGTTCGGAGGAAAATCCGCAGGAGCTCCCCTCTCAGGTCCTAGAGCGGTGACGGAGAGGCGGGACTCCGCTTTCGCGGAGGCCACTTCACCACTAATCTTGGCTGAGAAGCCGGAAGCCTGTGAGGATGAGTTGGAGCCGCCCAA